AATCGTCTCCTCTTCTTGTCAATTCTCTGGGCTCCATAGTTTGCATTATTCTGTAGTAAATTCCCAGCCTACTTACATTGGCCAGAGTTGATTTCTGTTGTTTGCACTAAGAAATTGATACCAGGGAGTAGATTACTGGCCAGATCCTCAGGTAATTAAGGGAAATTTTGGATTTCTTTCTGGCAGAGAATATCATATTAATGTTCATAGAAAGGGTTAAGTCCTTACCATGACTAATAAATATGATTATCACCTGTGGTCACATGGAATGCTATAGTTGACTGAAAGAGCACTACCAAGAATAGTACAATATGAAAAGTTCTACTACGAGTTAGAGCACCTGCTAGTCTATGGGTGCAGATAGCTTAAATGAAAGGAGTATTAAGGTCAAATCCCCATAAACTAGGCTTTAGGCACAATCTAGAACCAGGTACTATTAAGAAAAGGACCTTTTTCCCCCCTCATATAACAACAGAGATGAAGTGGTCATGAAAGCAAACACATGACATTTAATGCTCTGGATTGCTGAATTACAACTCAGTTAAGTTTGCATCCACATTGAGACTATCACATGAAAGTTGGAGCCTTGGTAAGAGAAAAAAAGAAAAAATAAATGGAGGCGTACAGAAGGATCTGAGAAGTTGGCAGCACCCCGAATCCCTCACCTTGTGTAGGTCCCCCTTGCCAGCTGGCGAGCCCCTCCTCCTTTGTTGAAGAACATTGTCCCTCTCTTGCTTGGAAAGGCAGTCCAATCTGCTTGCCCAAGGGAATTTCATTTGCAAGAAGAGCAAAGCAATTTCCTAGTTGCTTCACCCTTGCCCACATACATCCACTTCCAATAACATCAGAAAAAAGCATACTCTGTGAGGTTAATTACAAAAACACCACAAGAATGATAAGATTTTGGTCATTTATATGGACAAACATACAGCAAGTAAATACAGGAACAGATTCTGAGTGCGTTAAACCAAAGAAGGAAAAGCAATTTTAGATCTAGCTTTGTTGATATAGGCATGCTTATCAGAAATTCTGAATTCACTCTCAGTGACTGAGAGTGGTTCTAAATGTTTGCCCAGTTGGCTAGCTGCAAATTGTAGTCAATGATAACCTATGCTTAAAGGAAGCTGAGATGCCACATATTTGAGAGGGTAATGTGGAAGGACATCTTCAGGACACATGAATAATGTCACTCATGTTACCCCTCCACCACATTCTCCATCTATGAACCCTAAAAGGACCCAAAACACTCTTCCTACTCCAACACCTTGAACATATACTAGCAAGTAGAGTACCCATACCTCTGAAAAACTATTAACCAAGGATATAGGTAGGAGACATTGAAATCAGGTTGCCCATTTTGATTTCAAGGATAGAAGAAAACAAGCACAGGCATTTTAATGAGTGGAAAAGTAGTTTTAATTCCATTAATAGGTAGCAAGGCCAGAGAGTAATTAAGATAGACTGCATGAATAGTTTGCAGGAGCTAATCAATCATGGGGTCTTTAGGATTAGAATGAATAGGTAGTCTCTGACCCCCTTGCAGCCAAAACACTAAACCACAGCAATAATGCTTCTCTAAAGGGTACCACAAAGGCAGTACCACCACTAGATCAGTTGGGATGGGTCTTGAAGAACAAAAGGGATGTCAGTTATTCCTTGGTCAAAAGAAATAGTTCTGCATACCAAAGAGCGAAAGGGAAAGACATGATATATCTGTGATTACATTTGTGACCAACTTGCAAAAGTGTTGTTTCATATTCCTGAGTTCTACTGGGTTGAGAACCTAAGAGAGAAATATCTCCACTAGTACTATAAGTATTCCAACTGGCAGCTGAGACTGCCAACTATGTGGTATAATTTCTATTAATCACAAACCCAAAAGTACCCCTCCAAAAAAAAAGTTTTAAGCCAAGGGATAATAAAAAAAATTGTTATCTCCTGGTATTACCAGGCCTAGTGGTAAAAAAAAAATCAAGACTATGAAAATACTACCAAGGATACAGATCCCACCAGAGAAAAAGACATCCATTCTCAGTCTCCAAACAGATAAAAAACCATGCCTGAGAAAGTTACCTGAAGGCAAAGTCAGTTATAAGCAAATGAAAAGGGCAGACAATGAAGAGAGAAGTCATAAATACCAATTATGGCCTTAGGACCAGAGTACAAAAATGACAGTATCAATCCATATTTATATTTTGTTCCTTGCTGTGTCATATAAACATTTATAAATTTTAATCAATCTTCATTTTATTTCTTGTCTATTCTTCCCATTATTTTCTAAAGGGTATACTGAAGTAGTTAACTTTACAACTGAATCAGTAAGTTTCAAAATATAGAAGTAAAAGAGAAATGGACAGTATGCAGATATCAAAACTTGAAGCCAAATGTAGCATTTTGTAAGACGTGGGTTATCTGATTTTAGGGGAGAGAAGTATGCTTTCATTTGTACAAGGAATACATTATTGTGGGGAAAAATAATTTTTTAAAATATTAATATGGGGTGAGGGGGCTAAACTGTGGTGTAGTAGGTTAAGCCTCTGCCTGCAGTGCCGGCACCTCATATGGCACTGGCTTGTGTCCTGGCTACTCCACTTTTGATCCAGCTTTCTGCTGTGGCCTAGGAAAGCAATAGAAGATAGCCCAAGTCCTTGGGCCCTGCTCCTGAGTGTGAGACCTGGAAGAAGCTCCTGGCTCCTGGCTCCTGGCTTCAGATTGGCCCAGCTCATGCCATTGCAGCCACTTGGGGAGTGAACCAGCAGATGGAAGACCTTTCTCTCTGTCTCTCCCTCTCTCTGTCTGTAACTCTACCTCTCAAATAAATAAATAAAACCTTTAAAAATATATATAACTATGGAGAAAACAAGGCACAGATGTTGGAGAGTTCAAGTGACAGACTACAGTGTATATTATTTTTGTCAAATTGTTCATGCTTGGGGGAAAGTCCCAAGATCAGGGAAACAAGATTCTACCTTTTTTTTTTTTTTTTTTTTTTGACAGGAAGTTAGACAGTGAGACAGTAAGAGAGAGAGAGAGAGAGAGAGAGAGAGGTCTTCCTTCTGTGGGTTCACCCCCCAAATGGCCGCTACAGCCCAGTGCATTGTGCCGATCTGAAGCCAAGAGCCAGGTACTTCCTCCTGGTCTCCCATGGGGTGCAGGGCCCAAGCACTTGGGCCATCCTCCACTGCACTCCCTGGCCACAGCAGAGAGCTGGCCTGGAAGAGGGGCAACCGGGACAGAATATGGCGCCCCAACTGGGACTAGAATCCGGGGTGCCGGCGCCACAGGCGGAGGATTAGCCTAATGAGCCGTGGCGCCAGCCAATATTCTACCTTTTACCACAAGAGCGAGAATGGAGCAGATAATCCCTCTCATGTCTTGGGACAGAGTGTGAGCACATGCCCTAAACATATCCAAGCAGTGGGCCTCATGTAGATTTCTGACTCCTGGGGACAAGGTAAAGGTCAGTGCGAGGTCCCAGCAGAATGTGAGCTCCATATTAGTAGAACACTGTTCATTTTCATTACTGCACCTGGGGCATCATCAACCACACAGTAGTTATGTGAAAAATATTTTCAAATGGAAAAGGAAAGGTCAGTGAGAGATTACTTTCAACACTCATAGGAGAATCAAAGATCCAATGACACTGTTGCAAATGTCCAGTGGTCGATTCCAGCACTACCGTGTCTAGAGATGACAGTGCCAGAAGTGATAAAAGAAGTAGAATATGAGTTGACACCAGGGCTGTCATTGTCTCTCTTGGGGCCTGTGCAAGCTTCCTCATACCGTCCAGTGATTCTTTCAGCTTCCCCAATGCCCTTGCAATAAATCCTCTCATGATTGAAGTTTATCAACTAGGGGTCAGCATTGTGGGGTAGTGGGTATCTACTCTACTTCCCATCTAACTCCTTGCTAATGCACCTGGGAGAGCAGCAAAAGATGGCCCAAGTATTTGGGCCCCTCACCCATGAGGGAGACCCAGATGAAGCTTCCGGCTCCTGACTTCAGTCTGGCCCAGTCCTGGCCTCTCTCTCTCTCTCTCCCCACCCCCACTTCCTCCTTCTCTCAAACTCTACCTTTCCAATAAATAAAATAAATCTTTTAAAAAAGTATCAACTAGTATATAAATGCACAATAGGATAATTATACCAGTGTCATCTCCTTGTAACAGAATGGAGTTAAGTAAACTATAATGATACACTTATGCTCAAAGTTAGAACATTTACTTCTTCCACTAATACGTTAGGTGGAACTACATGAAAATATAAATACTGGGCCATTTTTTTTAACTTAAAAATATCTCACATGGTTCAACCCAATATGTTTAGGTTGTTAAAAGATACAGTATCTGCACCTGGCTGTTCTTAGTTGATTTTTAAAAGTGATATCATTCTTAAAATCATTAAGGAAGGAAAACAAATAACTTTTTTGGTAAGCAATTCTAGTGAACAACAACTAGCAACCCGTTTTAGTCTTTCTTTCTTGTTTATTTTCCTGTTTCATACCTGCTACTTTCCTTTTACATTAATAGGGTATTAATAATGCACCCTCAAAAATATGCATAATGATACATGCTTATCTCCCAGGCCTTTTCTCATAGTAAATGAGCCTGCTACACATTTGCCAATCTTCCATTCTGCAGAATTCAGTCTTTCCTAAAAGTAGAGGCAATATGAGTGAAGAGACCAATTTTGGGGGTAGGTTTTCAAAAATATGAAGAGGATCAAAAGGAACTGATGATGTGGACTAGTAATTTGAGTTAGTGAAATACTCATTCAGTTGTTCTTACTGTAAGTGCAAGGCTAGAGGAAACGCATTGTGGAAAATGAGATAAAATAGGTTTGTTTTTGTATTTCTTTTTTTTTTTTTTTAAAAAAGCTATTATCAGAGGCCTCTAAGAAGGATCCAATAACAGATTATTAGATTTTGCTCTAAAGTAGTACTTCCTGCGCTGCCTCAACACTCTCTGAAGCATCTTAGGGAGATGACAAGAGACTCTCTACCTGAATGGCACTTCTTCCTGCGGCACGTCCACGTAGTAACGAATAAAGAATCTTTCAGAATCTTCTCGTTCACCATCAGTAACAACACTGCCATTAAGCTTGGAAACCGAAGGCAATCTGCAAGTAAAGACATTTTTAAACTACTAAAAATATTTAGTTTTAGAAATAGAAATAACTGGTCTGAGGCCCAGTCTTATTCTCTTGAAAGTACATGTTTGATGTAGTTCTGCTTGTGTGCAGCTACTAAACATGAACCAAAGTGACAGAAAAATAAAGGACAAAACCTAGTTTCATATGTGGATGTAAAACTGACCTTCATAATTATATTTCACCTTTCCAAATAAGATTCTAGGCAGCATTGCCCAACTTAAATAAATACAATACAAGCCACAAATGTAATTTTAAATTCTCCAGCAGCCATCTTGGAGAAGTGAAAACAAAACAGACGAAACAAATTTTAATATGTGTACTTACTTTAATATATCCAGAATATAATCGTTTCAGCAGGTAATATTAAAAATATTTAATGTGTTACTTTTCACGTTCTTTTACTCATAAAACGTATTTAGAACTCAGTGTCTATTTTACACCAATAACACATTTCAGTTCAGGTAAGAAATATTTCAAGTGCTCACAGCCATACATGTTCAGTGGTTACCTAGTTAAATAGCCCAGATCTACAGAGTAATTAGTACAATTTGAGTACAAAATTTAAGAATTAATTTATTATGTTTGTAAAAGAATTGTGTAAAGAAAATAAAGTATAGGAGCCTACTGTAAGACTTAATATTCTTAAAAGAAAAGCATGCTGACAGTTTTTCTTCAGTGAGTTATTAATGTGTACTCACGGATCTGCTAGGCATTAGCTGGTCAGAAAGATCAATACCCAGTTTAAAGAATCACTCTTCTTTTGGGAACAGTAAGGCCTACTGCTCCCCTTCCAAAACTAATATAAATAATGCACAAAGAGGACAAAGCCAAGCTCCATGTCCACATCCAATTCAGCAATGTAGCTGAAATTCTATTTCTGCTGAAGGTTCAGACAAAAACAAATGCTCATGGGAAATCCCAGGAGTCAGTGGGGGCAGAATCCGAGACACGAAAGGCCAGAGGAGTCAGGGGATGCAGACAAAAGTTACAGCAGTCCATCTCTATCCCAGGGCAACACATAGATTCTCTTCTCTTGGCTTTAACACTAGAGCAATAGCCCAGCTTTCAGGTAATTACACTTGAAAAAGCCACTACGGTAGCAGACAAATTAAGGACAACTGTGACAGATTCCATGTTATGTGTAGACTTGTGCTTCGTGATTTCAAATTTTATTCAAATATTCTAAATATTGAATAACACAAAAATAGATCTGTGAGAGAATCTGTCAGAGGTCTTGGCAGGCCAATTACATCTCATGCTTTCCTCGCCATACTGCATCCCTTTCAGGCAGGATTCGGAGCTACAGAAGCCGCTCCTCCATGTACATCCTGCTCAAACGGTGGATAAACCCATGGGGCACCCCTCCCCCACAACAGTGCATGGGCCCTTTAATGACATAATAAGAAAGCAGAAAAAACCGGACAACAGACCTGGCTACCACCAGTTTCCTCCGCTCCTCAGTGGTATATGGCTGCAGAAGAGGAATTCCTAACAATCTCACTTCTTCAAGTTTGGGGAATGAATTTAGTTTGTCAATGTCTTCCCAAGACTGCAAACCTAATTTGAGAAAAATATTATTAGAGTAAATCGAGAAAAGCACACGAATCAGAAGATAAATGAAGCAAAAAATTACTTCCATAATTTATGAAATGTTAAAATGATCATAAATTAGAGAGCCTGAGGTTTTTCTTCAGTGAAGCAAAGAGTAGAATACAATTAAACACCATAAACATGCCCCATAGCCTCTCTCTGTATGCGACCCTAGTGGTCAGGGAGAGACAGCTCCTTCCCACTGACTGTCTACCAAAATGGCTAACAAGGAGGGTCACTGGTAGTTTCAGTGAACTGGGCGGGTGCCAAGATTATATAATTTTAAAAAGTGACAGGACCAACCCATTTTCCTCACATATCGGCTCACAGAATGTAACTAGTGATCACAGTTGATGTGCCATCCTCAGATTTGTACCTGACAACTTCTGAAATGGGGCATGGTTAACAGAACCAGAAAGGAAGTACTGTCAGTTCCATACCGTCGTCATGTTGGTGACAGGGGAAATATCTAACATTACAGTTAAAACAAACAAAAACAAAAAACCTGAACCTTTGAATAAGGATAACATGCAGCAAATTAATATTTTTGTACCAATAATTCTGAATGAAATTGTCCTTATACCTGTGTGCACATGTATCATCCAAAACACTCGACTTCTAATTCAGGGAAAGGTCCAAGTAGGAAAAATATTCAGGTAATAATGAAGCTGGTCGATTTTACAACTTATTAAACACATTTCAGGGAACAACAAAGTCCCTTTCCATTTCCATCAACCATTAGCCGGCTAAAGGCAGAGGAGCAACTTAAGAAGGCACTGGTACAAAAACACTCCCAGTCACAACCATGCTGTTCCCTTGTAATGGCATTTCCAGTTAGGAAAAGCATAGAGATGGACCACGGTATGGGAAATTGTGCAACAACAGCTTCCTTGTGCAAATACTCATCTTTAAAACTTAGTGCCTATTCTAATAACCCTAAGGTAAATTAAACTAAGTTTATGCAATTTTAGTTTTTTTTAGCTGTGTAGTTGTTTTAAGAAATAGGCAGATCAGATCTGGTGTTGTGGCACAGTGCATTAAGCCACCTCCTGCAACATCTGCATCTCACATGGGTGCCGGTTCAAATGCCAAATGCCAGGCACTGTGGCCTTCTTGGGAGTAAACCAGAGGGTGAGAGCTCTCTCTCTCTCGCTCTCTCGCTCTCTCACTCTTCCTCTCTTTAATTCTGCCTTTCAAATAAATAAATAAAATTAAAACGCATAAACACACACACAAAACCTCAACAGTAAGGGGACCAGAAGCAAGATAGCAACAGAGTAAGATGCTCCCGGGATGCTCTCCCCACAGCACACCAATGTGAACAGCTGTTAACATAGCAAGAAACCCATAAGAATTAAGGAAGCTAGGTGAGAAACGACAGTGCCTGGTTTAGGACAATAATAAGAAAAGATGAATTGAAAAAGTCACAAAGGAAGGAGTTTATATCACCCCTCCCCCAGCTCCAAGCAGCAAACGGGAGAATAACACCTTGCTCTCACTTGCAAGGAAGGAGACTGAGTTAAGTCCAGACCTAAGAATTGAAACCCAGTACCAGGGCCGGCGCTGTGGCACAGTGGGTTAAAGCCCTGCCCTGAAGCTCCGGCATCCCATATGGACACTGGTTCTAGTCCCGGCTGCTTCTCTTCTGATCCAGCTCTCTGCTATGGCCTGGGAAAGCAGTAGAATACAGCCTAAGTCCTTGGGTCCCTGCACCCACATGGGAGATCCAGAAGAAGCTCCTGGCTCCTGGCTTTGGATTGGCACAGCTCTGCAGCTGCTGCAGCCATCAAGGGGGTAAACCAGCGGATGGAAGATCTCTCTCTCTCTCTCTCTCTCTCTCTCTCTCTCTCTCTCTCTCTGTAACTCTGTCTTTCAAATAAATTAAATAAATCTTAAAAAAAAAAAAAAAGAAAGAAAGAAAGAAAAAGAAACCCAGTACCAGGCCTCCACAGCAAAACACAGTCCCAGACAGGACCCCACAGCCCATGCTCCTAGGCCTATTCTTGCAGACCAAACAAAATTGACACTTTCAAGCCAGAAAGCCCTCCCCAACTCCTGTCCCTACTGCAGATAGAGAGTGGAGCAAGACTAGAGCTACTGAGGACTGGGGTGAGAATGTGAGTACAGGACTTTGCCTTGGAGCTCTGTGCCAGGCCTGTTATGGTAAGACCCAGCACCAGAAACAGTCCAAAGGCGCCTATCCTCAGATGGAGCCTCTAGACCTGCCCCGACAACAGGTGAAACAGTACACCACAGTGGGATGGACCCGGCAGGCACATTCAGGCATGGGGCACGCCCACACGGCCATGGCTCAGCTGTGACCCAGCTTAGTGTAAGCCTGGGTGGTCAAGGGACTGCCTTCATAACCCTCCTTCAACCTCAGGCAGACAGCAGGATTAAGATTGTAACTGCAGGAGAGCAGGACAGGAGAGTAAGATTAAGGCTTTGCCTTGGAGCTCAGTGCCAGTGCTGCTGTGACCTGGTACTGAGAGAGCCAAGGTTCCTACCCTCAGGCCAGAACTTGTAGGCACAGCCTCTAGATCTACCCAGCATCAGGTAGGGGCAGCTGGGTAGGATGCCATCCTGTTTCAGCCTGCATCACTACCAGCCTCACATGGGCCTAGTGCACACCCTCCAGGTTGTGCAGGACACGGCAGCTGCAAGACCCAGACACCAAGACCCGGCTTGCTGTCAGCACAGATGGCCAAGGGACTGCCTTCATCCCTTACCCAACCTCAGGCAGACAGATGCAGAATTCAAAATATTGTTTTAAGAAAACTCAATGAGCTTCAAGAGAACACAGAGAAAAGGTTCAATACTCTAACAGAGAAACTTAAAAGAGCAAATATATAAATTATTGGAGTTCAAGAGGGACTTCAGGAAGCAAAAGGAAAAAATGATATTAAAAAAAAAAATCTGGCCGGCGCCGCGGCTCACTAGGCTAATCCTCCGCCTTGCGGCGCTGGCACACCGGGTTCTAGTCCCGGTCGGGGTGCCGGATTCTGTCCTGGTTGCCCCTCTTCCAGGCCAGCTCTCTGCTGTGGCCAGGGAGTGCAGTAGAGGATGGCCCAAGTGCTTGGGCCCTGCACCCCATGGAGACCAGGATAAGTACCTGGCTCCTGCCATCGGATCAGCGCGGTGCGCCGGCCGCAGCAGGCAGGCTGCGGCGGCCTTTGGAGGGTGAACCAACGGCAAAGGAAGACCTTTCTCTCTGTCTCTCTCTCTCTCACTGTCCACTCTGCCTGTCAAAAAATAAAATAAATAAATAAATAAAAAAATTAAAAAATAAAAATCCAAAACCTAAAGAAAGTCAAATTCAACTCAAACAAGTCTATCCCAAGACAAAATCAAGCTCTCCAAGATTAAAGATAAAGGATTCTCAGAGCTGCAAATGACAAATAAAGGTGTCTGAACCTGCCAGACTGCAGACTTTCTGGCAGAAACCGTACAGGCCAGGATAGAATGGAAGGAGATTTTCACAACCCTGAAGGAAAAATCTGCTAACCAAAACTACTATATCCAGCAAAGCTATCTTTTAAATGAGAAAGAGAGATAAAGACATTCCCAGACACACAAAAGTTGAGAGAGTTTATCACCACCAGACCTGTCCTACAAGAAATGCTAAATGGATTTTCAAACTGAAAGAAAGAGATGCTAGAAAGTAAGAAGAAAATATCTGAAAGTATCAGAAACTCACCAGTCACAGTAACTACACAGAACAAAGAGTGCTCAAATATTATAGACATGGTACACAAACCATTCGTATCTTTAGTAACAAAACTAAAAAACTGAACAATTAAAAATAATAACTACATAAATAAGTTGATAGGTAGGCAATATAGAAGGATGTAAAATTCAAAATGTAAGGGGGGATGTAATACAAGTGTAGAGTTTTTTACTTTTTTATGTTTTTCATTCTTTGTTTCTTTTATCTTTATAATCAGTGTTAAGTTGCTATCATTTCAAAATAGCTTGCTATAATTAAAAGAACTTTTCTGAAAGCTTCTTGGTAACCACAGGAAAAATCTATAACAGACACACTAAAAAATGACAAGCAAGGAATCCGAACACACTATTACAAAAAAATCTCTTAACCAAAAAGGAAGATTGTAACAGAGGAAGAAAAGGGAAGGGCAGGGCAGGGAAGGGACGGGAAGAAAGCTGGAAGCATTTCCACTAAGATCTGGAAGCAGACAAGGATGTCCACTTTCACTATTGCTATTCAATATAGTCCTTTTTTGAAGATTTATTTATTTATTTGAAAGAGTTACACAGAGAGAGAGGGGCAGAGAGAAAGAAAAAGAGAGAGAGAGGTCTTCTATCTGCTGGTTCACTCCCAGTTGGCTGCAATGCCGGAGCTGCGCTGATCCGAAGCCAGGAGCCAGGAGCCAGGAGCTTCTTCCAGGTCTCCCACATGTGTGCAGAGGCCCAAGGACTTGGGCCATCTTCCACTGCTTTCCCAGGCCACAGCAGAGAGTGGGATTGGAAGTAGAGCAGCTGGGACTAGAACCGGCGCCCATATGGGATGCCGGTGCTTCAGGCCATGGTGTTAACCCTGCTGCGCCACAGTGCTGGCCCTCTCAATATAGTTCTGGAAGTTGTAGCCAGAGCCATTGTAAGAAAAAGAAATCAATGGGATACAAATCAGAGAGGTGGAAGCTGAATTATCGCTGTTTTAGATGACATGATCCCATATACAGGGAAACCAAAAGACTCCACCCACTAAGAGACTATTGGAACTCATAAGAGAGTTTGGTAAAGTTGCAGGATATAAAATCAACACACAAAAATCAATAGCCTTTGTATAAACAGACAATGCCATTGCTGAGAAAGAACTTCTAAGATCAGTATCATTCATAATAGCTACCAAAAAATTAAATACTGTGGAATAAATTTGATCAAGTAGGTGAAGGATCTCTACAATGAAAATCAGAAAACATTAAAGAAAGAAATAAAAGAAGACACAA